CTCCCCCTCCCACTCCCTGGGTGACATGTCCATCCTGGGCCTCCTCCAGTGTCACAATGACACCACTCGCAAACTGGAGGAGCAGCACCTCATATTCCGCCTTGGGAGCCTACAGCCTGATGACCTAATCATGGAATTCACCAGTTTTAAAATCTCCCCACCCCCAACCTCATCCCACGTCCAACTCTCCCTGTCATCCCCTCCCCCTTGGCCTGACACAACCCGTCCATGTTCTTCCCCACACTCTCCACCCCTCCTTCCCACTGACCAATCCCCACTACCCCCCAACCTGCATCCATCTATCACCATCCCACCTACCTTTCCCCAACCCCACCCCTCTTTCCTTGATTTATTCCCCAGCTCCCTTCCCCCTCCCCAGTCCTGAAGAAGTGTTCAGGCCCAAAACATCAACTCTCCTGCTCCTCTAATACTGCCTGAGCTGCTGTGTTTCTCCAGCATTAACTGTATTCAGTAACAATGGCAGACTTCTTCCATTAAAAAGACATTGATGAACCAGTTGGTCTGTACAATAATCACTGATAGCTTCATAAAAACCAAAATAAAGCAGATGCTGGAAATCAGAAACAAGAACAGAAATTGCTAGAAAAACTCAGCAGATCTGGCAACATCTTTGAAAAACTAAGGAAGGGTCACTGGTTCCAAAACCTTAACAATGATAGTTTCATGGTCAGCATTATTAGACTAGCTTTGAATTCCAGACTTTTCCAAATTGAAATTAAATTACACCAGTTGCCTTGGTGGGATTTGAACTTGTGTCATCAGAGGTTAGCCTAGGCCTCTGGATTACTAGTCCAGTGACATATACCACCACCTCTCCCAAATTAGTGGCCTACATTTTCCATCTTCTTACGACTTGTAGAAAATTTGCTCCCTGGCCAACGGATGATGCATCTGCAGCTATTATTGTTGGCAACTTTGGCTCATAATATTCTAATATTTTGGAATAAGTTAACAATTTCTTCATTGCTTCAAAACAATTTCTCTGATCAACATTCCAGAACTATTGTTGGCTATGTTGTAATAGCTCCATCAATGGTTTGTTAATCACTGATAGATGAAGTACAAGTTTCCCTCCTTGGTTAACCATCCCTGGAAACGTTTGTAGCTGCACAATGTTCCTGGATGGCTGAAATTTCTCTGACCATCTTTGTTTTCTGAGGATCAATCTTTATCCTTTTGGTTTCCATGATGCAACCTAGGAATTTGATCATAGGTGCAAATTCACACTTTTCAATTAGCATTAAAACCATATTCTGTAATATTTTCACAACCTTCCTAGTTGTCCAATCATGCTCCACTTTGAACCATGTACCAGATTACTCAATGGCCTAGTAGTATTTTCTAGACTATTAATCTAGAGAAAGAGGTATTGTTCTGCGGACACAAGTTTGAATCCAGCCATGGTGGACAGTGGAATTTTAAATAAAGAAAAAATCTGGAATTAAGCGTCTAGTGGAAAAATTAATGTTCTTTAGGGAAGGATACCATCGTCCTTAACTGGTCTGGCTGATATGTGACTCCTGACCCACTGCAATGCAATTGATTTTTAACTGTCCTCTGAACAACTAGGGACAGACAATAAATGCTAGCCTAGCCAGCAATGCATCAGTCCTGTAAATGAATTTTAAAAAAATATATCCTTCCCTTGGAGTATGTTGTATATTGTCCCTTGAAATATTTCATGCTATTCCAAACGGTAGCCTATTGAAGCATAATGAAAGAAGCACATTATAAAAATAACTAACAACTTAGATTTCTGGTCCAGAAGTACTTGGCAAAATGTATTATTGGCAATTAGTTTTGTCAATATTGTAACCTTTGACAAATTTAGCTAGACGATCAGCAACTGATGACATTAAGTGAACTTCACGTACTGCTTTGTTGACTCGGGTCAGTTCCATACAGTTCCTAACATCCGCATTTAGTTTAGGACCAGCGAACACAGATGAGCAAAATTATTTGGTACTGTGTTTGTTGAAATTAGCCCTGTGTAGAAGACAGTTTGGCTTTACATTTGACTGTAAGGTAGTATGATACTCTTTCTCAATTTACCAGTCCTGAGAATAATTGAGAAAATTCTTCCGCAAATTCCAAATATTACGTTTTTTCAGCAAATTCATCTACCAGCTTTAATCTCGAGCATGCTTTCGTGCTTAGAAGATTCTAGATTCTGAAAAATATATAATGATTGTTATTTGTTTTTAAATTTTAATCCTTGCCGTGATCGGATTTTTTGCTTTCAGAATTGTTCCCCCTAGCCTTGCAGTTTGGAGGAGGTTTTGGCTGTTCTGACTAGCTTAACAGTATGTCAGTATTTTTCTCACCCTATCTAAAGCAGTTCAAAATGATGGCTGGTGCACTTCTATTAATTGTGGCAAGCTCTTGCTGCAGGGCACTTTTTGTTTTTGTGACTTACAGATTATGTTAAATTATCTTTAGGCCACCTAGCAATTTCCAGCTAATAAAGGCTGTTAATAAAGGAATCAAGGGATTCCCCTGTTCTTTACCTCCATTCATTAAAATTTAGTCTCTCCATTTAGGAGATTCTTATAGACAGTAGAATATGCATTGCAGGCATTTGCCAAACTCTCTCATCAGAAACTGAATCGTCATCCAACAATGTCTGGTCAACACACCATTCATAGTTTTGAATGCAAAGAGCAGACAGCTGACTTGATCACTCGGCCCTTTTGTGTATAAATCCAAGGTTTAGTGCATGGCAAAACGTTTCCTCTGATTGTTACACTTCTGTGCCTTCAGTATTCAAGATTGGCTATAGAAGTGGTAGTGACAATTCCTCATTCCTGTGGAATCCTGGAATGATGCCTGCTTGAAGTTTTGCTGCCGTTTTCAGTTTCTGATCTCTGGAGGATTCTGATCAACAGTTCCTGTTGGCTGTTCCCTGGTGAATTTAGAACATTTTCTTTCTTCCATGTCATTCTGCCATCGAAGTACATCAGTGATTTGTTATCTTGTAGCCTTGTCTTTAATACTTACTGCATTTAGCTTCCACATGCTGCTGCCATCTTTCACCTTCTGATTGAGGTGACTGTTTTTCTATCTGGGGGAGAAAAGAAAACTGGACTTTTTTTGTTTTAAAACTTTTGTCGTGGGTAAATCACTACAAGCTACCTTTAATTCAGCTACTTAAGAAATGTCCCAGACAATCAAGTACTGAATCAATCATTTAAACTTTATTGCATGTAGCAAATGAAATAAGACTCCTTAAGCAAGCAAGTTAAGCCTCACCACTCACCTTGGCTATTACCCTATTTATGGTGGAATTTAGTTACGATTCCAACCAACAGTGTCTGTGTCTTACGTCCAGGGTTTGATCCTTGCATGGTGGTTTTTGGAAGTTCTGCTGAAGGAGAGTTCTGGTGTTGGATTTTTACAATTTTTTCCATCTTTCAGGTCTGTGATGTGACATCTGTGATCCTTTAAATTCTTTCATTCAAATTATTGCTGACTCTTCTGAAACCATCAAGCCTGCAGCTTCCCTGTTCCTTGTTACTTTTGGCATTGACTGGCTGTTTGAAGACACAGCTTTCCTGCAGTTAACTCCTTAAATTCCTCTGCAGGCAATCAGTTGTCCTTGTGGCATAAGGCAGCCATTTATCAAGCAGATGTCAAAACTGTTTTATTCATGTAGCTTTGATGCCTTCCCCCAGGCATGGCTAATTGCTTTCTTGTGTACAAGTCTGTCCTTGTCCTTTAATAGTTTATTCCATAATTATTGCTGCTTCTTACCATGTGTAACAGTTTATCTTTGATTCTTTCAATCCATGAACAGTTCTCCAAGTTCTGAAGTTTATAATATCACACTATACGGACATTTTCTAGATTGAAAAGTAGTTTGCCGTGTGATTTTATTTTTGGAAATTAAGCAATAGTTTAATGTGTGCTTTGGATTTGCTGCTTTCTCATGCAAATCAAGTTATTTTGGAGAAACAATTAAGCAAAGTTTTCAAGGAGATAAAGAAATGAGGTTTAATGCCTTAATTACTGGGAAAAAAATAACCTGTCTTTGATACTGCTGTAGACCCCTATGCTAATATTTGCCTAGCAATCCTCTCTGGACTTAGTTCTATTCCACAGAGCCAGGAATCAGATTAAACAAGACTCTTCCAAAACTGCAAATTTCTCCTGAAATTCTGTTCTCAGTACAAGTTTGGTCTGCCTGGTAAAACCTGAACAGCTATACTTGCCATGTTCTACCGAACCAAATCCAATTTGATTGGCATCAGAACTGGATGTTTATCATCAATCTACAGCGGTCAACAATTCCATTCTGTCGACTGGAGAAGATAGATATGAGAAACCATTCACATCCTGGCCTCAATTTCCATACCTTTTGCCTGCTTTCACCCTTTTTCTACTACTTCCTGTTTAGCACAAGATTTCAGTGAAATGCCTATACAGAAATTACTTCCATCCCCAAACAAAAAATTAAGCAAGGACAAAAACGAAGATACAAAAAAAGTCCCAAGAATCATCAGGAGCATGTTATTCCACTGAACTGACTGTCATAAATCTTCGGATGAAGATGGGCAAGCAGAGAAGAGTTATTCTAATGTCATGAATAGTTGGTCTATGTCCATTGGCTGGAAGGATTCAAATGGGTGAGTGACATAAACCACCAACCCTTGAAATAGAGTACATTAACAAGTGCACATGGCAAGGTGGCAATTTTCATCAGGCAGTCCTTTTGGGAAGGGCTGGGGGCAGTCTTGTAGGAAGCTGTCATTATCCAATGGAAGATGGGCTAGAAAAGGTTGAGGGAAGATCTAGGGAAGGGGTTCTTAACACTTCTCAATGGTGTAAGTGCTTTGGAAGTTCAGGCCATTGAAACAAAACATATACAATATGGCAAGGTACTCCACTGTTATATACATTACAAGCAGTCATATTGATTGAACACAATCACTATAAAAAAGAGCTTTTTACATATGGTGTTAATTAAGAGTAAACAAGCCTTATTTGGAATGAGAAAATCATATTTATTTCACCAAAATAAATGACTTTTTAGGAATTGTTTTATTATATTAACTACAGATAAATCACTTACTGCAACATAAAAACTAATCTACAAAAAATAGTTACATTAGTTATGTACATTTATGCTTGAAATATCAATTATACAGCAGTCAATTACATGGTTTTGAAGCTGTCTTCTGCTCAGAAGACTGCGTAGAAACGTAACAGTACATATCAGATATCACTTATATTGGGTGGTAACATCATTACAGGAAAACCAGTCTCAATAAAGGTATCAAGACACAAATCCTCACTATATACAGAGCAACCCATTTATTACAGATAACTTGGAAGTATTGATTTGCTAGATATTTTCAAAATCATAGTGTAATGGGACGTTGACTGATAACTAGCCACCATGTTCTTTGGTTCATAAAAGCTGCACTGCAGTTTGCTAGTAACATTACCCCAACAAATGGTTTCCTTTGTTATTTAAAGATACTTGCTTTCAAAATGTTTTGTTATAAATAAAATCTTAAGGGCATTTAAAAACCTTAAGACATCCTTCATAAAAAAAAATTCAACAGCAGCAAAACAAAGACTGCTGCTAGAGACAGCAGAGTTTAAAGACAAGACTTAAAACGAATACAAATGAAAACTTCTCATACATTCGCAGGTTGCCATGCTTATCTAAGGCTGGATGGCACTCCTGGAAACATTGAGTTATTATTGTTTTCACTAAGAAACATTCTACCTAGAATTGGTGACACAGTAGTTTGGATTTGGTGCTTATGGTCCATACCATAAATAGGAAAATAAAAATAAAAAGCACCAAGTCCTGTATGCTTGTTTTGGTAATCTTCACCTATAATGGTGAGGTTGAGATTAACTCTCCATCACCACCAATAATTTTGTACCACATGCAGACTGAGAACAAGTCCGATTGTGCTATTCCAATGCAAGTAAACAAGAAATTTTAAGGCCTTGGCAGGTTGAAATACTTATCCAATGGGAAAAATAAACTTTGAATTACCTCTGAGCACAAGATGGTGCTTACATTGCAATGAAGGATTTCATATACATTCATCTGCATTTAAAACACATATTAGATACCACAATAAAAAAAAGTTATATTTTTTCTTTTCATATTAAGATGGAATTCCATTATAATTCTAACCATAGAATATGCAACGTGCTTTTGAAATTTCAGACTTTAAAACATTTGCTTACTTAAAATGTGCATACCCTGACCAGTATCATCTCTCATTGTTATGGGGTACACTTCCTTGAATAATTTTATAAGAAGATCGCATTTCAACTGGGTATCTGCAAAATTGAATTTCTATTTCCCATAGAATAGCAAGGCAAATAAAGAGGTCAAATACAAATGTAGAGAAAAGAATGACGAGCTGCAGCATGGTAAAATAATGACAACTAATCTGATTAACATTGTTGTTCAAAGTTATTGAAAATAATTCATCACCTGTAAAATAATCTGTTAGAATATGTCAAGAATGCATCAGAATAAATTTCGAAGCGTCAGTTTTTTTGTGAATACTTGCTACACAGTTCTATTATTTTCACTGCTTGGCTGAAATAGTTGTCAGAAAGGCCTCAGTTGAGCTATGGGTGCGGGTAGAAATAAAGTGTAACAAACATAATTGATAGTCCTTTATTGTTCAACTTCTCAAAGCTGGGTGTTTTCGCAGAACCCTAAATCTCCGCAGAGACTGGTTTCATTTTTCTTACTTTTTGGTAACCTGTATTTTCATTTCTTAAAGGGAGTCAACTTGGTAAAACTGTGCCAGAAGGGAGAAGCTTTGCGTTTGGGCTCAGCCAATGCGAACACTTGTTGCTGAGGAAGGCTGGTAGGCACGGTGATGTGTCGCTGGTGGAGTGGATGCAGAGATTGATGTGGAGGAGGAGCAGAAAATCCACTATAATTCACCCCTACAACGGTAAAATTAGAGAATTGTTAATGATGTCAATTGGTCAGAATCAAGCTAGTGAACAGCAAGACAAATGCAGATGCAATCATGTGTACATTGATAGCTAAGTGTGTTAAAAGTGGTTTTGTCACCTCACTTCTATACCATGGCAATTTATCTCCCAAATGATATTAACCCAAAACTTTAGCTTTGTTTTGCACAAATGATTTTGTTTTCTTAAATCAGCTTACATTTATCTAGAGGACTGACTGTTAGGCAGAAAGTAAGAAAGACACAAGTTGCTATGCTATCGAATAGAATTAGCTCAATATCTCATTGATATGTATTTTCTTAAAATTGACTCATCAGATTCATTGGCTGGCTAGCATTTATTGCCCAGACCTAGTTGCCCTTGAGAAAGTGGTGGTGAGCTGGCTTCTTGAACCACTGCAGTCCACATGCTGTAGATTGACCAACAAAGCCTTTAGGGAGAGAATCCCAGGATTTTGCACCAGCAACTCTAAACAAATTGTGATATATTTCCAAGTCAAGATGGTAAGTGGCTTAGAGGGTAACTTGCAGGAGGTGGTGTCCCCATGTATCTACTGCTCTTGTCCTTCTACATAGAGATGATTAAGGGTTTAGAAAGTCTGAAGCTCTTTGGTGAATATCTGCAGTGCATATTCTAGATAGTACACACTACTGCTATGGAGTATTGGTGGTGGAGGGAGTGGATGCTTGTGGATGTGGTGCCAATCAAGCAGGCTATTTTGTCTTGGATAGTGTCAAGCTTCCTGAGTGTTGTTGGAGCTGCACCATGTAGGCAACTAGGGAGTATTCCATCAGATTCCTGACTTGTGCTTTCTAGACGGTGGACAGACTTTGGGCAGTCAGGTGGTGAGTTACTCGCTGCAGTATTCCTAGCCTCTGACCACCTCTTGTAGCCATTCTGTTTATATGGCAAGTCCAGTTAAGTTTCCGGTTAATGACAATCCCAAGGATATTAATTGTGTCAAGGGGCGGTGGTTAGAATATCTCTTATTGAAAATGGTTATTGACTGGCATTTGTGTGGCAATGTTATTCACCACTTGGCAGCCCAAGACTGGAATAAAATTAAATCTTCTAAACTTTAGTGGTATTTCAGAATATCTATGTGTTCCTACTCACTCTTCATTTTCCCATGCCTGGATTTTTTGGCATTTAACATTGCTTGTTTCTTCTGATTTTCATGTATTACAAATCCTGAAAGAACATTAGCGCAAAAGAAAATTCTTCATTAATAGGTTATCTTTATAAACAAACTTCATGATTCACTTGAACAAAAATATGCATTTTTGAAACATTGCAGAGAGGAGAGAAAATTATCCATGGATTATGGAATGAAAAATCTGTTTTGAATGAAATGTTCTTTCTGGCCTTGCTCAGAATGCATGCTGTTCAGTCACAGCTGTAAATTTTCAGTTTCAGATACGTGCATGAAACTGGTGCTAAAGCAACGATGATGGCTTTTCTTTGAATAAGCAATTGCCCTGAACGACTTGCTTTCCTGCCTAATTTCGTTGAAGTCAGGCACTCTGTGTATAGGTGCAAAGGCTTGAATACATATTTCAGTCACTGTGCAAAAGCAATATATCACTTGCTGCATTACAATTAAATCACATTTGATAGACTCAATTGCATCCTACTCAGCTTTTCATTTTCAGTTTATCAAATATCTTCCACTGCATTGATTAATCATTTTATCGTGTGAAGAACCCTCATAAATGTTGTTTAGATAAAGAAATCTGCCATCCTTACTTGTTCGGTCTACATGTGATTTCAGGTCCACATCACCAATGTGGTTGATCCTTAATTGACTAGGTCAATAAACACTGGCATAGCCAGTGATGCCCACACCCCATAATAGAAAGAAAGATGTTATTCAATGGCAGTAATTACAACAGTGTGTAAAATCAACACTAGGATATAAACAAAGGGTAGAAAAGGTTTTTGGCAATTTTTACATTGTGTTAAAAATTCATTACGGGATGTGGGCATCTCAGGCTAGGCCAGCATTTATCGCCTATTAATAATTATGCTAAGAGGCAACCACAACTGCTGTGGATCTGGAGTCACATGTAGGCCAGACCAGGCAAGGATGGCAGATAACTTCTTTAAAGAGTATGAGTGAACCAAATGGGTTTTTCTGACACTCAACAATAATTTCATGGTCATCATTAGATTCTTAATTCCAGATTTTCTTGGAATTCAAATTGTACCATCTGCCATGGCAGAATTCAAACTTAGTTCCCCAGAACGTTACCTGGGTCTCTAGATTAACACTTGAGTGATAATATCACTTACAAAATTGATCATGTTTGCAATTTAGCACCAATAAAATGATGTATTAAAGACAAAAAGTAGAACGACTTTACATGCTTATGGAAATACACCAGCATGCCTGGATCCAATTATGCTCCACACTTTATCCTAATTCACCAAAAATATGATTGTCCTTGACACTCGCATCGAAATGTGCGATGTCACTAGAGATCAACAAATACTCTTTAATATTCATCTTTTATCACAAAAGTATGAAATGTTCCTTTCAAAGAATTTATTAGCACAACTTTGATGGTTTGTGACAATAAAAGCTCCATTTAAACCAGCCTCTGAGGTTGTCTTTCCTTCTGATTTTAATTTTTACTCTGCTATGCATCCTTGTAGCAATGGTCTCTCACTTTTTATCTTACAGTTGTTTGGTAGTATAGAACTTTTCTAATGCTGAGGAAAGATGTTTTGTTGAAGTATTTCACCTTGCACTCATTTGGACTTTTCACAAGAATATAAACTCAAGGAGCAAACTAACATTTGTCCTGCATGAGAAAACAGTGCCAATTAAAAGACAAGTAGATTGGTAGGGGTGTTGCCATAGGAAATGCACCCACAATGGCTGATTGACAGTTAACAGCAAGGTTTTGTTTAAATTTTAAACCAGGCAAGTTGATTTTTATTTAGGCACTGCCCTGAGAAATGAACCAGCAAGTAATTGTTACCTATTTTGCTGAGTTGAAGAAGGTGCAGTGCATGTACATGTTTTTATACTGCAAGCCCAAATGGCAATCCTAAACTGGTTTGTCAACATGTTTCTTCACACAAACATGAGTTTGGCTTGATATTCAATCATGGGATGTGGATACCACTGGCTGAACAGCATTTCTGGTGATGTTCCCACAGATCTGCTGTCCTTGTCCTTCTAGATGCAAATGGTCATGGGTTTGGTAGGTGCGGTCTAAGGATCTTTGGTGAATTTCCGCAGTTCACCTTGTAGACAGTGCACATTGCTGCTATCGAGCGTAAGTGTATGTGGATACTTGTGGATGTAGTAGCAATCAAGCGGGCTGCTTTCCCTAGACAGTGTCAAATCAAGTGTTGTTGGAGCTGCAACCATCCAGACAAGTGGTGAGTATTCTATAACATGCCTGACTTTTGCCTTGTAGATGACATACAGGCTTTGCGGATCGAGGAGGTGAATTACTTGCAGCAATATTCCTAGCCTCTGACCTACTCTTGTCATCACTCTATTTATGTGGTGAGTCCAGTTGAGTTTCTGGTCAATGAAATCCCTAGGATGTTGATAGTGGGAGATTCATTGATGGCAACAGCATTGAATGTCAATGGGGTAGTGATTAGATTGTCTCTTATTGGAGATGGTCATTGCCTGGCATTTGTTTGGTATGAATGTTACTTGCCATTTGTCAGCCCAAGCCCGGAGATCGTCCTGATCTTGTCACATTTGAACATGGGCTGCGTCAGTACATAGAACATAGAACAGTACTGCACAGTACAGGCCCTTCAGCCCATGATGTTGTGCTGACCGATTATCCTGCTAAGATCAAAGTACCCTGCATACCCTACATTTTACTATCCTCCAAGTGTCTATCCAAGAGTCACTTAAAAGTCTCTAAAGTATCCGACTCCACTACCACTGCCGGCAGTGCATTCCACATGCCCATCACTCTGTGTGAAGTACATTTGTACATTTTTAGACTCCATGCTGCAAAAATGATTCTGTTAGAGAATGCAGACATTACCAGAACTGAGGTTGAACATTAATCATAAAACTACTTGCTCCACGCAAACATTTTTCCTTATACCAACAATGCTTCATTGCCAATTACTTTAATTCATCCTTCCACCATGGGAACAGTTTCTTCCTAACTATTCAGTTAAGGCCCCTGATAATCTTGAATTCCTCAAATCAAATCTCCTCTCAACCTTTTCTGTTGACAAACCCTTCCAACTGAAGAACATAAGAATTAACAGCAGCAGGAGGATATTCATCTCCTCAGGCAGGTACAGCCATTCATGGCTGATCTTCTACCTTAATGCCATTTTCCTACACTATCCCTATATACCTTGTTTAATCTATAAATATATCCATCGCTGTCTTGAACATAATCAGTGACTTGAGCCTCTACAGCCTTTTTGGGTTGTGCACTTCAAAGATTCACCACTCTCTGTGTGAAGACATCCTCCCCATCTGAGACCTAAATGGCGTGCTCCTTACTTTCAGACCATGTCCCCCGATTCTACACCTACACCAACCTCAGCCCAGGCAATCATCCTTTATGCATCTCGCCTGTCGATCCCTTTAAGAATTTTATATGTTTGAACAAGATCACCTCACATTCTTTTGAACACCTCGGAATATAGGTGTAGTCTAACAGTTCTTTCCTCATGGAAAATCCCTTCATTGCAGGAAGTAGCTTGGTAAATGTTTGTTGCACTTCCTCAATGGCAAGTATATCTTTTCTTTGGTAAGGAGAGCACAACTGCACATAGTATTCTAAGCGTGATCTCAGCAAGGCTCTACATAATTGCAGTACTTAAGTCCTTTTGTAATAAAGGTCAACATACTATTTGTCTTTTTAATTATTTACTGTGCCTGCATGCTAACTTTCACTGACTCATGAACAAGATCACCCAACTTGCTTTGAAGTTCAGCACTTCCCAGCCTGCCATCATTTAAGAAATACACTGCTTTCCTGTTCTTCCTTCAAAAATGGATACCCTCACATTTCTCTATACTGTATTCCACCTGCCAAATTTTTGTCCAATCATTCAGCATCTTCAAAAATCCTTGAAGGGACTTTGCACACTCCTCATAATTTGCCTTCCCACCTGTCATCTGCAAATCTGTATAATATTACATTTAATCCCCACATCCCAATCACTGATGTAGAATATGAATAGCCAGGACTGAAGCTCTGATTCTTACTGTACTCACTTGTCATCACCTGCCAACTTGAAAATGACCCACCTTGTTTCTATTCTCTGATTTTTGTCCATGTACCAGCTCTCAATCCAAACAAATATACTCCTCCCAATCCCATGTGCTATAATTGGGTTTACCAGACTCTTATGTGGCCCTTATCAAAAGCCCCATTAAGTGACCAATGTTAAAAGGAAACAATGTTAAATAGGACTTATTATATATTGTTAACATTAATTTCTACCAGAAGGGGATGATAATGTACGAAAAAAAGGAAACAACTTTCATTAACTTACATTCACCCCTCGGATGTTTCACAGCATTTTACAATGTATCTCTGTCGTAGTTCATTTGTTTTTTTTTGTGGAAAATAATAGGATTCAGTGACAGTCTAATAATAGTTAACTGCTCTTGTTTTTAAGTTGAGCAACACTAAGTTGGTACTTCACCCCATCTCCCTCTCTCTCTCCCCCCCTTTCGTAACTATTGGGTATACATTTGCACCTTCTGAACTGCAGGAAGCATTCCAGAACCTAAAAAACTGTGAACAAGGACCATAATACTCTGCAATGTATGCAATTAGGTCCAGGAGATTTATCTACTTTAAGTCTTATTAATTTCTCTAATACATCTTTCATAAATATATGAATATCCTGCTCCACATTTCCAAATCCCTAAACTCTCCCATTATTTCTAGACAATTTTTCGTATTTTCCTACATGGAGGCAAAGTATTTGCTTAGTTTCCCTGTCACTTCCTTATTCCCCAATATAAATTCTCTGGAATCTTTGTTTTGCTAATTTTTCATTTTTGTGTATCTGGAAATGCTTATACTGTCTGCTTTATGTTTCTTACTAGTTCACTTTTATTTTCATTTGCTTAATCTTTTCTTTGTCCTTAGGCTTACCTTGTTTTTGGGCGACTTTACAGGTCTCTTCCTTTGATTTAATATAATCCTAAATTGGAACCAAATTCCATGGTTGGAATATTTTCCTTGCTCAGTTTTTGGGCATTAAAGGAACACACTTTTGTTGTGAACTATGTATTAGTTCTTTAAATATTGGTCATTGCCTGTATGCAGTCATACTTTTTAAAGTATTTTCCCAATTCATTATGCACAATTTGTCCCTCATAACTTTAGAGGCTGTGTTTTCTTAAGATTTTAGACCCTAGTTACTGATTGAACTACATAATCTTCAAACATTGTAAAATACCACTATATTACGGTCACCATTTCATAAAAGCTATTTTAGAACAAGAATATTAAGTGTCCCTCTTTGTTTGCAAAATAACAAATCTAAAATGGCCCATTCCCTACTAGGTTCCTCAACATATTGTTTAGAAAGCCATTTTTGCATAGAGTCCAGAAATTTATCCTTCATACAAATTTAGTTTATCCAGTCTACATAGATTGAAGTTATCCATGGTTACGGCATTACCCTTGTTACCGACAGCTCTATTTTCCTGATTTATATTGTGATCTACATTATCACTACAGATGGTCTTCTATAAACAATTACCAAACATGTTGTTTCTTAGTTCCACCCAAATGGATTCTACATCTTGAACTTTAGAACAAATGTCATTTCTTATTACAGTATAATAGCTGTAATGAAAAGGTGGTGGGTAACTGCATTTATGCTGTCATTTCAGAATAAAAGAAGTAATGAGAGCTTAAGTTCAGTTACCCACCACCTTTTCCCAGCTTCTTGTCCTTCTTGAATGTCACATATCTTTGGATTTTAGGTCCCAGCTGTGGTTTTATTGTGGCTATACCTCTGTAAATATCACTAGGACATACATACGAACCTAAATTTGAGCTGACAACCTGTTTATTGGGAATACCACAGAAATTCAGATATAGAGCCCTTAATTCAGTTTCTATTTAAACTGAATCACTGTCCCTTCTTATTATTGCTTGATTATCACTATCTTTACCGTTAAGTTGATCTATGGCCTTGTCATTTTCCAATAATTTACTCAATCTTACCCTACCTAATCCCTTTCCCATTCCATTTTATTTACAAACTTCCTTCGTAAATGATTCGCAAGAATCCCATCCCAAGCAAAGTCCAGGGTAGGTTTATTCCATTCTTCCAGTACTGGTGCTGGTGCTCCACAAATCGTAACTAGTTTCTCCTACGCCAGTCTTTGAACCACTCATTCATCGGTCTTAACTTCTTAATGCCAATCTGCATGTGGCTCAGGTAATAATCCAGAGATTATTACCTTTGAAATTCTGTTTATAATTCAGGGCCTAGCTCCTCAAATTGATTATGCAGAGCCTCTTTCTTAGCCTTATCTATGTCACTGGAATCTACGTAGACCATGAAAGTCTGTTCATTCCCCTGTGGTTGTAAGTCTACCTCCAGCCCTGAGCAAATATCATGAACTTTGGCACCAGCAGGGAGTAGTCACTAACCTGGAATGGGATTTCAACCTACAGACTACGATTTGGAGATAAGCATGCTATCAACTGAGCTTCCTATTGATCTGTTCAATCATGAGCATTAATTTTGTACTGGTCAATGAAAGCAGCTGGTAAGATGGTATTCTTACAAAGAATCTCAACTGAAACATCAACTTATTTTTTGTTTCAAATGATTGCTGACACAAGATACATTTCCAACTTCTCCCATTTTTATTTTCGGCAAATCATCACGTCACTACACCTTTGTCTTTAATATATTGATCTATACTTTGATGATCTGACTTCATTAAATAGGGACAATCTTAATCACATAACAGTAACAAAGCTTTTCAATTCAGCTTGAATGATTTCTTTATTCAATCATGGTATCTGGGCATTATTGTCTAGGCTAGCATTTATTGCTATCCCTAGTTGCAGTGTCAGTGTGAGCCATCTTCTCCAACATTTAAGAATCCTTAAGATTTTTGAAATGAATTTGAAGCCACTATTACAATTATTGAAATGCTAGCATATCAAATCACATCAGCAATTGTTTATGGCTTTTAAATATTTAGTTGTCAAACAAATCTGAACCATCACCGAGTTCACCTTTTAACATTTAAGATAGGAAATCCTTTTCATGCATTCTCTGTCTTCCAAGGTCCTTATCATGGGTCATAAGTGAGTCACATGGCCTGGGCCTAAGCTCCTGCCAGTGCGAGAGTCAATTGCTTGGATTAAATTGAGAAGGAGATTCCTTCTACTTTTCATCGTCTTTCTTCCATGAAACAACGAAGATCACAAGCTTAACTAAGAGCCAGAACAAGAAATTAAGTCCATGAATCATTATTCTTGTACTGTTAAAGCTCCTGGAAGATTGCATACATTGCTGAGGATATAATTTTGCTTGTTGTTATGCACCCTCCTATATCACCGCAGTTGAATAATACACAAAAACCTACTGTCAAGATTCTTCTGCAAAGAACGGCTACTGATTTTAGAAAATAGGAAATCAATTGCTGCAACTATTTATCCTTAATTAATGTCAGAAATCAAGCTTACCCATTTCTTTGTCTTCTTCTACTCTTTTTCTTTCGTCTATACATGCTTGGAGCCATCTCTGTTTATCTTCTGGCTTTTTGGCACAGAATAGGTATACTTCCTCCGTTGCATTAATTCTCAGTTTGAAGGCATTTTTCACATTAATGTTAAATTCCTTGTCTTTACCATCTTCCACGTCAAGGACTTTAACCTCATCCATATCAATACGTCCTTTGTAGTACAACATATCTCGTCTCAATAAGTCCTTTTTGCAGAAAAACAACTGATGGTCAAACAGAAAAAATGTTCTCTGTTGGCTCTTTCCTTGACATGAAATTTTCATCAACTCGCCAGAATGAATTAATTCTGAGCTTCTGGTTAAAACATCTTGTCCCTGAAAAAATATACAGGCAAATGACATGATACATAAAGCTGTAATGTGCTACCCAGTCAACATAGACAGTTGAGTCAGCATTAGTTCAATATTCGATATAGATCCAGTCTTCAATATATCAGTTATGAATTTGCAGTACAAGTTGAGACAACAAGGAGCTGCTAATAAACTAACAGAACTCATTCCAGATGTGGAAATAAGGAATTGCAGAATTTTCATACACTAATAGTAGATTTTTCACTCAAATTTGTAGAATTTTATTTACTAGCATAATGCCATTCTCTTCCAGACACTGGGGTACTTGGATAAATAAATGGCTTCAATGCAAGTTTTTCAATACATATTTATGAATCGGAATTTTAAAAATCTAAGGTCATATTAAGACAAAATGTGCAAGTGTCATTGTACCATAACACACTGCAAAAACATGTGATTGATTTTCCTTGCTTTATGCGATAGCATGAACTGTATTTGAGTTCTGTGTCTTTTCAAATTTTGCCAAAGGGTTTACTTTAGTACTGGTAATTTTACATCTTTGCATGCAGTATTATATGAAAAAAGAAATTGAGGAATATAACAGATATTTCTCATTGCCTTATCTGGGGTAATATATTTCTGGTAGGATTTGAAGTAAATGACAGCAAATCTCAGCAAGTAGTTTTGAGTTTGCTTGTCAAAAGACAAACAGAAATATTATAAAGATTTATAAATCAAAGCAATTGAATTACAAGTCAGAAATACAATACGAACCTCCCAGTTTACAATGGACACTTGCCATTGAGCAATCTTGTCTATACTTTCTAGTCGTCTTTTGCGTTCATTAATCAGATGTGCTACATTCTTCATTGCTTCATATGCGGCTCTGATATTTTCATAATCACTGTGGAATAGTTACAGATTTCGTTAATGTTTCTAGAATTAAACCAAATACAATTTAGAACAAGAGAACCAGCAAATATCAATCAAGACAGATACAAGATTATGTTATAATAAAATTAGTTTCTCAAAACAGAGTTTGAAATAGTGCTGTAAGGAGAGTGATTTATATTTATTTTTATAATATTTATTTGAGAGTTTGGATTTTGAAACAGTGGCATGTGAAATCTGGTCTGAGTGTGATTAAAGCACTTTGGCGATTAACTTGTCACTATTTCGGTAGCTATGATCATTTATTTTGAAAACATTAAAGAGAAGGGCCTAGTTAGTAATGGGACTTTGCTTCCGTTGGCAGGGTTTTATAAACTAACATTATGTTTCAGGTAGAAGAATCACGAATTTATTTTTGATTTAGTGAAACACCCACAGCTTGAAGAAAGGCCTTCGGTTTCAGGGTTTACAAAAGTCTTGTCTGAAGCTGCGTGCGTAGGACAACTATTGCTGAGCAGGGAGACATTGTGGACCTGTTAAGAAATAGCTCCCTTTGGTGTAAAGAGTATAGCTTGAAAATTCAAAACCAGAAGTGGGTAAGGTGAAGCTGAGAAGGTTTAAACTCAGTTGTATCAAAACCTAAGAAAGAGGTTATCGGATTTTAGACTGGGAACTGAAGCCACCACTAAATTAAAGTGATGAAGAAGGGAATTCTTTCTGATGTGAGTACTATAAAGAAATGCTGTTGGGATTAAAGGGTTTGTACTTTACTGTATGCTTGAAAATCTTTAAACTTGTCTTATATGTGAATAGTTTATTCAATTTTTTTTGCATATTATACTTCCGTTTTATTGCCAAAACCAAATCTGCAGTAATGTGTGCTTGTGTTTCACCACAAGACCAAAAAGAAATCTATCAAGCCAGAATTCAATCTTACCTGTTCCGTAATAGTATTAGCTGGGATCATAACAATTGTGAGCTCATCTAGGATTTGAATTCACTGGATTTCAGAGGGATCTATCTTTTTTTTTTAAAAAAAATATCAGGTGGTGACTCTGGATATAAAAGGCTGTATTGAAGTGAAGCTTATTGCATGGAATTTGAAGATGGATTTGCATTGCTAAGAATGTTCTGGAAATGGAAGATATGGTGGATTTTTTGAAATCTTTGACTAAAGCTAAACCAAGACCGCTAGCAGATAAATTGAAGGTAGAATAAAAACCGGCTCTCATAAGGATTAGATGCTTCAACTGACTAACATACATTCAAATTGATAAAAAAGGAAACCTAAAATCAGGTATCATTTGGAATTAGCTATGGCATAGTTAGAAATGTTAAGACTGGACTTCGAGAAAGAGAAATGAAAGAACTTGAATTAGAGAGAAAAACAGAGACACAAGAGTTTAAAAAAAAATTGAAATGGAAAAAGGAGGAAAAGGAAAAAAGAGGACAATGGAAATTTAGAAAGAGAAAAATAGAGACCGAGATAAAGAAAGGAGGGGGAAAAAAAATCAGATAGAAATGAAAAGGGAGTTGGACTTAAGTAAACTGCAACCAAATATGGATGTTGTCGTTGATTTGCTCGCTGAGCTGGCTTGTTTTTGTTCAGACATTTCGTCACCATGCTAGGTGACATCATCAGTGGAGCCCCTGATGAATCGATGTTATTCTACTCCGCTTGGGATTTATACTGTCTGGTCCGTTATGGCGAGTACTGTCATTTCTGGTTTTGATCTGTATGGGTTTATATATGGGGTCCAATTCTATATGTTTGTTGATTGAAGTATGGGTGGAAAACCACGCCTCTAGGAATTCCTGTGTGTGTCTATGTTTGGCTTGGGCTACTACAGTTACTTTGTCCCAGTTAAATTGATGGCCTTTATTATCTGAATGTACAGATATTAAGGAGAGTTTGTTGTGCCGTTTTGCTGCTAGCTGATGTCCATGTATTCTGGTGGCTAGATTCCTTCCTGTCTGTCTGATGTAATGTTTGTGGCAGTCGTTGCATGTTATTTGGTAAACCATGTTCGTTCTGCATGTTGTGGGAATGGGGTCTTTAATCCTTGTAAGTGTTTATCATAGAGTGGCTGTGGGCTTGTGGGCCACCATGATTCCTAGTGGTCTTAGGAGTCTCGTTGTCAGCTCTGATATGTTCTTGATGCAGGGCAGTGTGGCCAGTGTGTTAGGGTGTACCGTGTCCTCCTGTTGTTGTCTGCTTTGTAGGCATCTGTGGATGAAGTTGCAGGTATCAGTTTAAAGCAAGGATCTTGTATAAGTGTTCTTCCTCTTCCCGGCGTCGTTCTGGAGTGTTGCAGTGTATCCTTGCTCGTTTAACTGTGTGTCCTAAAAGTGTCCTAATGCAGCTTTGTTTGTGGATGGTTGGCGTGGTTGCTGTGGAAGTTGAGGATTTGATCTGTATGGGTTGCTTTTCTGCTTACTGAGGTTTGGAACTCCCCGTTTGTCAATCCCCGTTTAACATCCAGAAACGGAAATTGTTTGTTGTTTTCTTCTTCCCTCGTGAATTTAATCCCTGTGAATACGCTGTTGATGAGGTGGTGGGTCTCTTCTAATTTGTTGCGTTTAAAAATGACAAAATGTGTCTACATACCGAATCCACAGTTTAGGTTGAATGTTGGGGAGGGTGGTGTGTTCTAGTCTTTGCATGACTGCTTCTGCGATGAGTTCTGAGATGGGTGACCCCATTGGTGTACCGTTGATCTGTTTGTAAATTTGACCATTAAAGACAAAGTGTGTGGTGAGACATAGGTCTAGTAATACAAGTACGTTGTCCTTGCTGATGGAGCTGCTGGTCTGCGTTGATGTTTCCTCTAGTAATGTGGCGACTGTTTCTTTGGCTAGTGGCATGTCAAGGATATTAGAGAACGTGAACTGGCAATGAAACAGATTAGAGCAAAAGGAGGACGTAAGAGGTTTATTTTTAGAGAAAAGTCTGTCCAAATGCAGAAAGGTTAGAACCAAAAAGTGATATTAAAGTTAACATGCTTCTACTGTAATAAGATTCAACAAATCAAAGTCAATTTTTTAAAAATTATTTTTTGTGGGATGTGGGTATCACTGGCTGGCCAGCATTTATGCCTGTCCCTAGATGCCCTTGAAGAGGAGGTGGTGAGCTGCCTTCTTGAGCCACTGCAGTCCACCTGATGTGGGTTGACCCACAATGCCGTTAGGGAGGGATTTGGACCCAGCAACAGTGAAGGAACGTCACGATGGTGAGTGGCTTGGAGGGGAACTTGAAAGTAGTGGTGTTCCCATATATCTGCTGCCCTTGTCCTTCAAAATGGAAATGGGTGTGGGTTTGGAAGGTGCTGTCTGAGGATCTTTGGTGAATTGCTACTGAGCACTGGTGGTGGAGGGAGTGGATGCGGGCTGCTTGGTCCTGGATGGTGTCAAGCTTCTTGAGTGTTACTGGGACTGCACTCATCCAGGCAAGTGGGGAGTATTCCATTACATTCCTGACTTATGTCTTGTTGATGGTGGTCAGGCTTTCAGGAGTCAGGAGGGGGAGTTACTCGCCGCAGCATTCCTAGCCTCTTACCTGCTCTTGTAGCCAGTGCGCTTACGTGGTGAGTCCAGTTGAGCTTTTGATCAATGATAACTCCCAGGGCATTGATAGTGGGGGATTCAGTGATGGTAACACCATTGAATGTCAAGGGGCGGTGTTTAGATAGTCTTTTATTGGTGATAGTCATAGCCTGGCATGTGTGTGGCATGAATGTTACTTTCCACTTCTCAGCCCAAGCCCAGATATTGTCCAGATCTTAGAGATAGCAAGAACTGCAGATGCTGGAGTCAAAGACAACGCAGTGTGGAGCTGGAGGAACACAGCATCAGGGGAGCAGGAAAGTTGACGTTTCGGGTCGGAACCCGAATTTCTGAAAAAGGATCCTGACCCGAAACGTCAATTGTCCAGATCTTTATGCATTTGGACAGTATCTGAGGAGTTGCAAATAGTGCTGAACATTGTGCAATCATCAGCGAACATCCCCACTTCTGACCTTAGGATGGAGGGAAGGTCATTGACGAAGCAGCTAAAGATGGCTGGGCCTAGGACACTACCCTGAGGAACTCCTGCAGAGATATCCTGGAGCCGAGATGACTGACCTGCTGGATTTTGAATGGGAGGCAGTTTGCAATAAAAGGGGAAAAAGGAAAATCAGGAAAGGAAATGGATAATAAAACTATAGCAGTACTATAAACTGAACATATTTCCTTAGAAAGTACTAAGGAGGGGGAGAAGTACAGAGTTAAATAGAAATATCTGAACAATTGAGCATGGATTAGAAATTGAAAATTCTGAAGTTGTAATTCCAACAATCAGTTTCAAAAAAACAGTGTTTAGAAAAGGTTAGAAAGTACCACGTTTCATCTTTCAGAAAACTTTCAAAGTGACTTAGAAAGGCTAATACAGAATAATAAATCAATTTATGGGAACATGTCAGGAGAAAAAGAGTTTGAGCTGTTCATGATGTTATTGTGAGGCATGCGTTACCCATAAAACAACAATGTTACAGATTCAACCCAGCAAGACTAACTCATGTGAGGGAAAAGACTAAGTTAATGACAGATAATGACGCCATTGAACTCAATCATAGTATCAGGAACTCACCTATTATGATGGTGCCAAATAGCGATGGGTCACAAATTCATATCCTATTCCAAGATTGGAGTGTTATATGGAACAAATTGGACGTGCATTATATGTCACAAAAACTGACTTGCTAAAAGAATACCAAAGAATTCCGTTGATGATATAACCAAAGAAATATTGACTTTTGCAACACTGGTTGGAATGAAAAATGCACAAGCTACATTCAGCCAATAGCCAATAAACGAATAAGTAATTGAAGGATGATGTAACTGTTCTTTACATTGATGATTTGATTGTTTTAGCCCGGGAAGAACATTTACACCACTTGAATGAGCGACTTGATCTGCTAAAAAAACATGCTACCTAGTTACAAAATTGGCTAAGAGTGAATTTGCCTAAGCAAAGGAATCATTTGGGCCAGATTATCGACCAAGGCCACGTAGCACCTAGAGAAGTGAAAGGACTGGCTTTTTTTTAAATTGCCCCAAGAATAGGATATGTGAAATTTTGTATTAGGTTAGCATGAATGGATTTTATTACAAACTTGTTCGAAAACTTTAGTACTGTCTTTGCACCTTTAACAAATTTGTTGAAGACAGAAAATCAGAATGGACACAGACTATCAAAGTATCATTGAAAATATGAAAGCTGTACGTACAACTGCCTTGGTTTTAGCCGTGCAAGATTACGAGACACTATTCAAAGGGGCAGATTGACAATGGTGTGGGGGCTGATTTTATGTAAGATGATTTGGCTTAGAGTAAAGATTCCTGACTTGAAGAAAGTTCCTTGGTTTCAGAGTTTGCAAAAATCTTGACTGAAGTTGAATGTCTAAGACAGTTGCTCCAGGGGGATATTGAGAACTGTTAGGAAATAAGTTATTTCAGAGTAAGGAGTTTAGTTTGAAAGTTCCAGACCAGAAGAGGTTGGTGAAAATTCTGAAGGGTTATATGAAACTAAGAAAATTTAGACTCCGTTGTATGAAGACTTGAGGAAGAAGCTATCACATTCTCAAGACAGGCAATTTAAGCCACCATTATATCAAGCCTGATAAAAGATGATAGAGAAGGGAATTCTCTTTGTTGTGAGTACTGTAAAGCAATGTTTTGGGATTAACAGGAATGTATTGTAAAGACTGTATCTTTTTATTTTTGCAGCTTTTAAAACCATGGATTGAAATCACACAGAGCTTTATAAAACCAGACTTTGAAAGGATGGCTATATGTTTTGAAAGCAAGTAACCTGACACCATGCCCAGCATCATGTAAACAACCGTTTGAGCAAACAGTAATTAAAGCCTGAGTTGCAGATGATTTGGAGATGAATGATTGTACAGATCCATTTTTTGTCGGCAACAAGAAGTTGGTCAGTCTATGGACTAGAGACCAGTTATTAATCACACAGATCTTTTCCCTGCCAACAACTGTGATTGGTTCTCAGGTAACTAAGCTTGGATCTGAGAACAAGTTTCAGAGAGGGAGAAGGATTCAGCTCTTCCCCAGTTCAGGAGTGGTCTTCTCTGCAATCAAAACTGACTGTAAGCCTGAAGAAAACCAGATTATATTTCCTGCAATAGTTGTTGCAAGCATTGATTTTTAATTGATAGATCAGAAACCTTTTATAAGTGAACTAACAATCAATGGGAGCTCCTGAAGAAATGAGTGAAGCTACATGCTGGCCAGCAGAAGAGTCATATGGAACATCTCAGCGAAAGAACCTGGGAACAATGTTTCCTCTAAGTTGCAAGGCTGCACAGTCACTCTAAGGTTCTATACATGGCAATCTGTGTTGGCACATTGATTGCAGCACTGACTTCTGGTTCTGGAAGACGCTGATGTGTACAGACCTCAGAGGCCTAAAGCAGCTGGAAAGAAAATTAGAGGAGTGCTGCCAAGGAACACAGACGACTGAACTGTCTTTCCAGATTTTACCCTCTGCCCAAAACCTATTACCAGTGTCTGTTTCCACGTGCCTGCGCATCTGTGTATCAAAAAGGGGGTGCTCATAAAGGTATTAAGAGTTGTAGTTCATCTTGTTGTATGCTGACTATTTATAAGAAAATTACCTGTAGCTAGAATCAAATTACTTGCAATGAAATAGTCATTGTTGTTCAGTACAGAAAACTTTTCCATGCTTTCTATGAAGCTGGGTCTGAAAGTCAGGTAATTTGAGCAATTTTGCCTACTTTATAAAATTTTCAACTTTTGGTGACAACTCTGGGAATAAGTAGTGGGGCTCAACTTCCAGCATGCTATCCCAGTGAGTCCTACTCAAACAGGATTTCACCATGTGCTTTGAAATCTTTAAACTTGTGTTACGTGTAAATAGTTTGGTTTGCTCTATCTATTTCTTTTACGTAATAAACTTCTGTTTTATTGTTAAACCAAAATTTGCATTATTGTACACTGTGTTTTAGTGAACTAACTGTTAGAAATTTTAAAAAAGGCAGTCCATCAAGCCAGATTTCAATCTGGTATCTGACCTGTCCAATAATTACATGAGTTGGGATCATATCACCATTTATTTTTGAAGCCTGATGGCAGTTAGAACTGTGTAACATATAGCAGGAAACAAAAAGAACCTACTTACATCTTTCTTTGAAACTTCCAACCATAATTAGCTATGTATCGTCTGTGGTGTGTTTATTCAAACAAAGCTTCTGTTCTATATGAGATGTAAAATATTTGCATATTCTAAATTGCTGAGAAGTTATTTTAAACTACATAGCTCATGGTTAAATCTGTGACCAGCTGAGTTAATGAGATGTAAAAAATTCCATCTTGTCCTGAGTTTAATTGATCTTAGTGTCAGTTGGTTTACTACATTTGATCTGTGTCCCAGTTCAGAGTAATGAGTAACTGACCAAGGTTATCATTCCTGACTGACAACTTGTGACTACCATTGGAAAAATGCATTTGCGATTATTGGGCAAAGGTGGGAAGTGGCACAGGTGCAATGTAGCCATGATAAAAATAGTTCACCAGCATTCAATGTTAATATCACATACCAATGCAGGTGCAGAAAATAGTCAAGGTAGCTAATGGAATGCTGGCCTTAATATCTGAAGGACTGGAGTATAGGGATGCAGGTGTTTACTGTAGTTATACAAAACGCTGGTTAGACCCCAACTAGAGTACAGAGTGTATATCTGGGCACCACACCTTAGGAAGGATGTTTTGGCTCTGGATGAAGTTTATAAGGATGCTGCCTGGAGTTCAGAGTTTAAGTTATGAGGGAACATTAGACCAATTAGGCCTTTATTCCCCAGAAATTAAAAGGTTAAAAGGGTGTTCTAATCAAGATCTTCAGTATATTAACGGGGAAAGACTGGGTAGATAAAGATAAACTATTCATTTTGTTGAAGCTTCTAAAACCAGGGGGGCATAGTTTAAGAATTAAGCCCAGGCCATTTAGCAGGAATGTTAGAAAACATGTCTACAAACAAACAGCAGTGGAAGGTTAGAACTCTTCCTCAAATGGCTGTTGATGGTAACTTGTTAAATTTAAATCTGAGACAGACCAACTTCTACTAAGTAACAGTATCAAGGAACACGGGCCCAAGGCAAGCATATGGAATTAGACCACAATTCAGCCATGATCGTGCTGAATAGTAGAACAGCCTAAGGGGCTGAATGGCCTATTCCTGTTCCTCTGCTCCAAATGTTCTTAAGGAACAGTATCCTTGGTCAAAGCATTCAGGAAATAAAGTTATCAACAAGATTGATTAAAAATGGTTTTCAATTTTGGGTAGATTTTACATTTGCTTCTGAGACAGGAGACATTTTCTTTATTTTGTGGCTTCTGTCACTAGAGTACTCAAATTGTCAGAAGTAAAGCTCTCCGAGTTGCTCCAATAACATTGAGTAGACAATGTATTTTGCCTGTTGTTTTCTGTTTCCTCCCCAAAGTGAAGCTAGCTCCATCCCTTACTTTTTATGCTCTCTCCCACAATCTCAAAGAGTTAGTGGGCTTCAACACATTTATTTCCATAACCACCTAAGCTAAATCCCAAATTCAACACAATGTGCACCGTAACACAGTATTTTCTTTTCAGAAAGACCCAATTTCATTTAGTGCAGAACTAGCTGTGATCCAAACAACACCTTCAATAAAATAAAAACCGAAAGAACTGCAGATGCTGTAAATCAGGAACAAAAACAAATTTGCTGGAAAAGCTCAGCAGGTCTGGCAGCATCTGTGAAGGAAAAAACAGAGTTAACGTTTCGGGTCTGGTGACCCTCTTCAGAACCTTCAGTAAAATGTCTAAGTATAGGAAATAATTAGTGTTCAAGGAAAAACTGGAACATGACCACCCTGTATAACCAAGCAGTGAAATTTATCAAAATCTCAAATAGTGAATTTTAAAAAAGGCTCTTTGCCCTAAAACAAGGTGCAGATACACAATACAAAGCAATCTTTGATCATCAGCATAAAAAATGCCCCAATAAAGCAGTTTAAGCACAACTGTTTGTGCTGAAAGCTGTTCTATTACATTTAGATTATACAAATCTCAGTCAAGGATGATACTTGGTCACAAGGGAAACTGAAGCAATGGGAGGAAAAGAAAATGCCTCATTTACATTTTTCACAGTCTGCATGTTTAATAAATTTAATATGTTTCAAGTTCTCATACCTGTGATCAGGGGTAGTGTATTTGAGCAACTCAGCAAGCTGTAGTGGATATTTACAGATCTTCTGGACTGGCGTAAGAAGAAAGCCATCAATGGCGATATCAATCATCTGTTGAAGCAGTCGACAGGCTTCAAAAAAATGTCGATATTTGCTTTGTTTCATTAGATTGGCGAGTTCAACACATGCACTGGGATGATTGTTGCAATATTCAGAGTATATCCCAAATCCTTCTTGCTGAAAGAAATGTTATTAAAAAAATTACCAGTAATCAACATTTGTTCATAGCGTGTTCACAGATCACTTCTGCATCAATAAAAAAAAATGTTAATTCCAAATCTTTCTTTTCACGTCTTGTGTCTGCAATGTGATGGAAGGAGTCGTTGACAGTGATATCAAGTGGCTCTTCCTCAGTAACAACCAACCTCGTCACTGTCATTCGGTTTGGGTTACACAAGAATCACTTAGTTCCTGACCTCATTATCTCCTTGCTCCAAACCGGGACAAACCAACTAAACTCTAGAGGTGAGGTGTGAGTGACTACCCTTGACATTAAGACAGATTTGACTATCAATGGCATCAAAGGGCCATAGGAAAAACAGACTCAGTGGAAATCAGGGGAAGTTTAATCTATCACAAAGTATGATGGCTGTGGTTCTCAGAGGTCAATCATCTCAGTCCCAGGATATCACCACAGGAGATCTTTTAGGGCATTGTCCTTGGTACAACCACCTTCAGCTACTTCCTCAGTGAAACAGGAGGTGATGGCCTAGTGGTATTACTGCTAGACTATTAATCCAGAAACTCAGCTAATGTTCTGGAGACTGGGTGCAAATCCCATCAAGGCAGATGAATTTGAATTCAATACAATATCTAATTATAACCATGAAACTACTGCTGATTGTTGGGGAACACCCAGCTGGTTTACTCATATCCTTCAGGGAAGGAAATCTTCTATCCAGACCAGGCCTGGTCTGGCTTACATATGACTCCAGAGCTACAGTAATGTGGACTCTCAATTCCTCTGAAAATGGCCTAGTAAAGTACTCAACTGTAACAATCACTATGAAGTCTCAACAAAGAAATGAGCATGACAAATGATAATCAGGAATGGGAATTTCAAGCATAAAGAATGAAGCACGAAGCTGGCTTGAGCTAAAAGTCACCAAACTTGCAAACTCGTCCAATAACTGTGTTGCAGCGAGGGAATTCAATGTTCATGAAAAGCTGGTGCAAGAATGGAAAAAAAAATTCAACATAAAGAAAATGCTGAAAACTAATTTTTTTTAAAAAAATTCATTCATGGGAGGGGAGTATTGCTAGGCCAGTATATATTTCACATCATTGACCGCCCTGGTGAAGGTGGAGGTGAGCTATCTTCTTGAACTGCTGCAGTCCTTGGGACATCCATAGTGCTGTTAGAAAAGAATTCCAGGATTTTAATCCAGTGACGATGAAAAAGAATGGCATTACAGTTCCAAGTCAGGTTGGTGTGTGACTTGCAGTTGGTGGTATTATCCTTCTCGCTGGTTGAGGTCATGGATTTAGCAGGTGATATCAGAGAAGTCTCCATGAGATACTGCAATGCATCTTGTAGATGGTGCACATGGGTTAAGGGACAAGCCAGTGGTCTGATATTAAAGAATGTATCAAAATGGGTCATGGAAAATTGTCAGAAACGTATATCACCACCATAAGTGCAATACATATAAATATTATCTATGTATACATTTATATTATAATACACACACACATATAAAAAAATCTACAGACATTTTCTTTTCAGTGGCCTAAATCAAGCAGTCTCGCAAAAATTCCCAAACAACAGTTACTTGGCATAGCTGCTTTACAGGACAAAAATGTCTAGTTTTGTGGCAGAAGATTACACAGACTTTCAACAGGCCTTAAAGCCAAAATGATCAGTTTTCAACTATGTCATGAAACAGCACTCAAAGCAATATTAATCACCAAAATGAATGAAATGCCCACGAATTTCAATATTTTCAGATACCACACTGTGCAGTGGGAAGGTTTGGCCTTTGGAAGCGTGCTTCAATGAGTCATTCAAGAATCGGGTTCACAAAAGTTGAAGGGGAGGTGGTTGATGGATAAATTCCTTAACAAAGAATGAAAATATTGGTACTGTCTCAGTTGATGTTTTGTGTGATTTTAGTACAAAAAATAAAACACACCACATCATTAACGCAGACTACCATTTGATAATTTAAATATGCAGAATATCCAGCTCAATGTATAGAGAAATGATTTGTTGCAGATGGATGATTCAAAAGCACCAAATCTGATACAGAGCGAGATTCTTATCAGGTGCCATTGTCAAAGTGACTCAGAACAAAATCTTTTCATCATTTTTGATGCTTTCTATAATATCTTAATTATAGTTAAAGGTACGGTTACAAAGTCAAAGCTGGAAACTAAATATTCAGGGATACGAGACCTGTGAAGGACAGACAGGAAGGAAAGGGTAGATGGGTTGCACTGCTAGCACAGGGTGGAATAAGTATGATAGCAAGAAACGATCTTGGATCAGAAGATGTAGAACCCATTTGGGTGAGGTAAGGAATAAAAAGGGAATATGGCATTGGTAGGAGTAGTCTATAGGTCTTCTAGCAGTAATTGCATGGTGCAACAGATAAAAAAAATGGCATTACATTGATCAAGGATATTTAGGAAGAATTCATAGATTGCATTTGGGACAGTTTTCTATAACAATGTGTTGTGGATACATAAGAGCATAAGGCCATAAAACATAGGACCAGAAGTAGCCTATTCAGAATTTGCTCCATCATTCAAAGAGATTATGACTGATTTGATAATTCTCAAATCCTTTCCTGCTTTTTCCCCTTGATTCCATTACTGATTAAAAATCTGTCCATTTCAGCCTTGAATATAGTTCATGACTCAGCCTCAAAAGTCCAATGTCGTAACGAGCTCCACAGATTCACAACCTTCAGAAATACTTCCTTCTCATCTGTTTTAAATGGGTGACCCCTTAAACTCAGATTACGCCCTTTGTTTTTCCTCATGGGATAGTCTACGACCAAATTTCATACATCTACAGTATTAAGTCCTCCAAGAATCTTGTATGTTTCAGTCAGGGTCATCTCTCATTCTGCTATCTTTCAAAGAGGACAGGGCCAAACTACTAAATCTGCCCACACAAGACAAACCCTCCATACACAGTATCCATTAAAGTGAACCTTCTCCAGACCGCTACCAGACCTGGTCCGATCAGCCCCATCAAACCGGACCCAATTTCCCTTATCAACCCTAAATACTACATCATTTACCTTGCACCCTACCCACAGCATGTTACATCTATTATTTGTCATCCTACACCTGGCAACCGCTGGCCTGCTTCGGTGAAGGCACTGAGTATAGGAGATAGTGAGAACTGTAGATGCTAGAGTCAGAGATAACACAGTGTGGAGCTGGAGAATTTCTGAAGAAGGGTCCTGACCTGAAACGTCAACTTTCCTGCTCCTCTGATGCTGCCTGGCCTGCTGTGTTCCTCCAGCTCCACATTGAGTATAGGAGTTACAATGTTATGTTACAGTTGTGTAAGTTGTTGGTGAGGCTGCACTTGCAGTATTGTCTACGGTTGTGGTCACCCATTATAGGAAAGACATAGTTAACCTGGAAAGTGTGCAAAGAAGATTTACAAAGATATTGCCAGGACCAGTAGGCCTGAGTTGTAGGGAGAGGTTGGCCAGGATTGACTTTATTCCTTGGAATGTAGCAGAATGAGGGGTGACCTTATTGAGGTGTATAAAATTATGAGAGGCTGATAGATAGGATGAATGCATATAGTCTTTTTCCTGGGCATTGGGAATTGAAAACTAGAGGGCACAGGTTTAAGGTGAGAGGGAAAAGATTTAAGAAAAGATTTAAGCAAGACCCGAGTGGCAACTTCTTCACGCAGAGTGGTGCATATACAGAATGGGCTGTCAGAGAGTGGTTGAGGGATATACAATAGCAACATTTAAAAAATATTTGGATAGGTACAATTGGAACTAGTGAGTGGGCACATGGTCAGCATGGACCAATTTGGGCCGAAGGGCTCGTTTCCCTGCTGGATTACTCTATGACTCTAAAAGAACTGTCTGCATAAAAATGTTTTCCTTATGGTGCCATTACTTCCTTTTGCTGATTGCCTTAAATTGTCACACAGGAACATAGATATTAAAAGCACGAGTAGACAACTCAGCCTCTCGAGCCTACACTGCCATTTAATAAAATCATGGGGGTCGGATGACTCCACATTCTCATTTACATTTATACTTTTCACCTCTTTGTTCATCCAAAACCTATTTACCTTTGCCTTAAAAATACTGAAAGACTCTACTTCTATTGCCTTCACAGAAAGAGAAAAGAAGTTCCAAAGCCTCACTTCTTCTTAAATGGGTGTTTCTTTACTCTAGTTCTAAATTCTTCGACAAGAGAAAACATCTTTTCAATGTCACCGTATCACCGTGTTTCAGAAACTTGCATGTTTCAACTAAGTCAACTACTCTTCTAAACTCCAGTGAGTACAAATCTAGTTTATCAAATCTTCCCTCGTAAGGCAACAGGCCAATTCCAGGTACTAGTCTATAAGGCTTCTTGGAACTGCTTCTAACACACTTTCACTCTTTCCTAAATAATGACGTCAATACTGTTTACTCCTGATGTGATCCCATCAATAACCCTTTACAAGTGGACACCAGAATGCAAATGGGTTTCATTCTGGAGTCTGCGCACAAGCTGATGCGCAATGGAAAGCAGTCATTCACAAGTACAGGAAATGCTCATATTCAGCTCTTTACATTTTAAAACTATGTATGGCTTCGAATTCGTAAGCAAGTTCATAAGTTGGGCATTTGTAAATCAGAGACTTTCTGTACTGTATAAATGAGTCATAGACTTCCGCACTTTTATATTCAGTATCCCTTGCATCAAAAGATGACATTCTATTAGCTTTCCTAATTACTTGTACCTACATACTAATCTTTTGTAACTCAGGAACTTGAACACCTAAATCCCTCTGCGTCTCAGAGCTCTGCAATCTCTCACCATTTAGATAACATGCCTCTTCCTGCCAAAATGGACAACTCCACTTCTTCCCACAATATAGCCTATTTTCTAGATCTTTACCCATTCTCTCCCATTATGGCTTCTTAATGCTCGCTTCACAATTTTAATTCCTACTTACCCACATTAATAGAAAATTTAGCATTTTT